TCAGGTTGCTGCAAGGTTATTTTACACATTATACACAGCGTAGCGAACTCCAGCCACCTGTAACTCTGGAAATCATGTTGGCCATTGCTGTGTGGAAGGGCACTCTGAAGCAACTTAAAATATAAAATATGAAATACCAAAGATTTGGGGGAAGATAGCAAATTGAGAATATGCTTCATTCCGGTGTAGCTACTTTCACCATGGTTCACGCCCTGTATGAAACAGTTCATTATCTCAAATCACTGTGGCTGCCAAAAAGCATCTACATATTATTGGAGAGTTCTTTGGAAAATAAGTTAACTTTTAGTCAAGAGAAAAAATGGTTTCTTGTAGCTGGGATGGAGGGTGGGGTCCATAAAAGAGAAACCATAAATCAAGTGAAATGTATGCAGTATTTCTTTTCTTGCCAAATTTAACTTACTGACTTATTATCAAGCTATATTAACAATATAGAAGCAGCCATGGCAATGACTGAAAAAAGTTGATGCTTCCCCTGGTCAAACTCTGTTGGAAGAAGATCACCTCTGAAGGCTGAGGACAAACAGAAGCTATCACATGGACCTATACTGGTCATCTGAAATACATGCAGCTTCATGTGGGTCAAGTTGCCCATGGAGTCCTGGAAGTGATTCTCTCCAATGGGTTAGACCATATGTCTATGGAGACTCACAGTCATCCAGGACATAGTTATCCCAAAGGTGCTTTTCCACAAGGCAACTGGACTTTCTTGTTTTGCTTTGAAGACCTTTCACTTCTCATCCAAGAAGCTTCTTCAGCTCTGACTGGATGGTGGAGAATGGAAGGATTTATACTCCTTGCAGACAGCTGGTCATTTGCATTCTTTTGCATTCTTTTAAAGAGTCATTGATGCCACCTGGAGGTTTATCTATGTCATCAGAGTCACCTGAGTGGTGCAAATGGGTTTGGAGCCTTCTTGAAACTGCTGAAAGGAGTGTGTTGTAGACTGGAGATAGATGATGTCATATTCCCTCCCCCTCTGTTGAGAGAGGGCTGTTCAATTTTGACCTTGATGATACTGATAAACCTCCAGAATGCAAATGACCATCTTCTTTGCAAGGAGTATAAATCCTTCCATTTCCCACCATCCAGTCAGAGCTGTAGAAACCTCTTGGAGGAGAGGTGAAATGTCTCCAAGAAAAACAAGAAAGTCCAGTTTGCCTTGTGAAAAAGCACCTTTGGTTTACACCAGGATTTCTCAACCTTGACAAATTTCAGATGCTGGTTGAGGAATACTGGGACTTGAAGCCCATCCATCTTAAAGTTGCTAAGGTTGAGGAACGCTGCCTTCCCCACTTACCATCCTAGCATCCAATGAGCTATCGTACTTTCCTTAATTCAACCTCAAAGCAAGGGACTCTGTGCTGATATGCAGCAGGCAAAGGATTCAGCCCAACTGAATTCCATTCGCTCTTAAATGGGGCTCAGGTAGGATCAATCAAAGTGGCTTCAAAGCACTTTCAGACCATTAGCCTTTCCATCTCCCAACCTTTCTGGACCCTAACTTGGTCTGAGCTATTTCTAATGCAAAGTGGAAGACCATGCCTCTGGTTCTCAGGGGAGGCTCCTCCTCCGTCCATTTCTGCCTCTCTGAACTGGGGGGAATCTGGGTAGAGGGTAAGTAACAAAGAAATGTGGCTGGACATCTCCCTCGCACTCTTTTCCGAGCAGGAGAATTAACATCTCCCCGTTCAAGAGGACAAGAATTGCTCTGCAATTGGGGTTCATCTCATACCAGAGCAGGGACTGTCCCTGGTCTGGCAACCTCAGGTCTTCCCAACCAGCTTCCATAAATGATGGGGCAAAGATTAACCATGAGAATGCGGAAAAGTAGCTTGCTTTTCCTGCTTATTTCAAGTTGACCAACATCTTCCCCGGAAAAAAAAGAAGGAAAAAAACATGTAACCAACCAACACGGCAGCATTAAGGCAGTAAATGAGCCTTCTAGTGCAGAGAAAGGCCTTCCCTAGCATAGTAATGAGGAGAAAGGGCACTTCACCTCTGCCACATCAAGCACTTCTCTCTTCATTTACATTTATTTATGGAGGACATTCAAATTCAGCATCATCCACTGTAGGCACTCGAGCAAATGTTCAGAGTGGCCCTTTGCTACTCCATTGCTAAAAGTGGAATTAAGCATTCCCGTGCTGGATTGATCCCACAAAAACAAAACAGACCCTCCTTCCCTTTCCCCAGCTATGGGTAGGGTTTGACAGCCTTCTCTCCAGGATCTGTCTCCTGTTCTGGCAGGAATGGGACAACTTGCCACAGCCAACTTGCCCATGGGACAACTCACTGTGGAACAGTTTAACAATTCTATTTAGTTAATTTAGTTTAATTATTAATTCAATTAATTAAGTAATAAATTAATTCAATTACACAACAAATAAATTCCCAATAAATCACCCCCTTGATCGGGTGATTGAGCGCTAATCACTACTTAATTAATTAAAAAATAATCATTTAATTATTATACAATATTACTTAATTAATTAAAAAATAATCAGTTGATTATTATACAATTGATAAAAAAGGTAATCAGTTTCCGAACTGATAATCAGTTTCCGAACTGATTACTTACTTAATTTAAAAATAATCAATTTCCATGGGTGGATCCTCCATCTCCAGTGCTGGAGAAGAGAAAGCGCACGTTTGTAATATGTTTAATTTCACAATGCTTGTGGGTATGCTTTTACGTCCAACCGATGGTGCTGTTTTTTTAAAAAAAGAATGTTTTTACCTGTCACAGGTGTGACATCTATGCAATAGTAGGTATATAAAAACACGCATGTATTCGAATGCAACGTTGTATCAAAATTTCAAAGCAATCGGTGAAGAACTTTCGGAGATTTAAGATTTTGAACAAACGAACATTTACATTTTTATTTATATAGATTTAAAATAAACTAATATTTTAATTTTTGTTGATCACATTTCATGCTGTCCCTCCTTTTGCATCCTTTCTTTAATGATTCTATTCCACCATTTCTTTGTTATTGTGTGTAACTTTTGTCCAGCAATGAGCTGTCCCTCAGTAAGTTGGCCATGGCGAGTTGGCCATGACGAGATGTCTGTGGTGAGTTGGCCATGGCAAGTTGGCCACGGCGAGATGGCCATGGTGAATTGTCTTAGACCCGTTCTGGCTGGCTTCAAAATAATATTTCCTGAGAAGCCTTGGGGCTTAGCCTACCCTTGTCTTCCCTCCAGACTCCATAGAAGGTAACAGTACAATGCTACTGATCAATTGGTGCACAACTCTTCTCTGACTTCCCTGCTCTGTCCCGTTGGCCTTACACTGCCCCAATCCTCTAGATTCATATTGATTTTCAGCGGACACATTCCTGCCTTTGTTCCTTGAGGAATATTTGCTAGCATAAGCATTTTAATGTCTCTGATCATGCACTGAATTAAACACACATGCAGAGGCAAGAGGGGGTCATCCATAGTTCAGCAACATTGCATGCTGATGCATAAGAATAGCTATTTTTAAACTAGGAAGGAAACACGAAAAAGCAATTCCACAGATGGGGAACTCGAAGAGGCAGAAGATGGCACTTGGAAAAACTTAATTCTATCCAGTTCTTTGCAGAGTTTTGTTGATACATAGCCACATGTCATCATAACTCTTAGCAGTTCGTCACAATTACCAAGTACAATATTTCAGCTTTCACCATTCTTTGTGCTTTTCGTGACCTTCTTCAAGTCCTAGGTTTAGTTGATTTGGATCCTCTCTATCACAAAACATGATTTATTAAGAGGTTTTCCAACTTTTTTCAAGCTGTGGAACCCCCTGATCAACATCTTAGCTGCTAAGACCATGTTAGTCCTGGATTTTGTCCAACTCTGATTTAGGGACTCCGCCCCAAGATCTGGCTGTCAAGTTCTCCTTCATTCCTAAAGACATATCTTGGAGAAAGACACCTTCACCCTGTGTAACGACAAGAGGGCAGGCCAAACTAGCATGGCAGATGATCCTAGCAAAAGCACCCAGAACTACTTTTATCTTCACATAATTGTTAATTTAATTAACTTTAATTATGCTTCCACTTTCTTACCACCTTCATGTATTCCTTCAGGATACTGAGAAGTTTGTTTTTTCAGAGGACTGATTTTTGATGTCACAAACAAGCAAAAATCCAATTCTCTGCCCACTCACAAAGCTTACACAAAACCCCCAAAATACAGGCAACCCTCATCTGTTTGACTGAACAGAAAGGGTGTGTGAGAGAAAGAGAGTTAAACACACTTGCAGACAAAACTATCCTCTACTGATTTTAGCAGTTTTTCAAAACCAGATGGGTGCTGACCAAACAAACAGAGATAAAAGGAGCTAGAAATTGCCTAAGCAACTATGACTATTTTGCCTGCTTCAAAGACTCATTTTGGTTTGTTCAATACAAGGTGGTTAAAAGAAATCAGACTTAAGTGCAAAGCAGTACAAAACTTCCCTAATAATCTCTTATTATTGTGTTCAGAAAGGGCTCTTGTGTTCTTTTCTGCTAATAAAGTAAGCTGATGGTAAATCAGTGTTGAAAGCCTCCCCGAGTATTTGCACTATCTATCTAGCAGGAAGACTTCAAGAAAGAATGGACTTCCTTTACAATGAATCCAATCAATTGCTCAGACAGATGCACAGAAAAATCTTCTCCCCAACCTACAAGTGCGCTTTTGAAAAAGCCTTTGTATTCTGGAAAAGTTACATTTCATTTCCAATAAACAACTCAAAACAAAGAAGAAAAAAGAAATAAACCCAGACTGTTTCCTTGCAAAGCAGAATAAAAAGGATCTACCAGAAGACACCTTTAAGTCGGTCCAGACAATAAAGACTTCTTTAAAACACAGTATCTTCAATTGAGTTTCCTCTGCCATCTTAGGTAACCCCACCTCTAACCAAGCCCGGCCAATCAGAGATTGGCTTTCTAGTGAATGCCACATGATGAGGTCCTCCCACCTTGACATCAGCCTGAAGACTCCATACTTACTCTTGAACAGCTCTGGCTATTGAGAGGGCTGTGGATCCAGTCTCATTCACACTATCCAAAGTCACATTGGGCAGGTCATCATCATCACTGTCGCTTTTAATCTGTCTGGGAGACAGGCCACGAGGGTCCATTTGTGCTGGGAATAAGGAGACACAATTGGTTAATTACAGCAGCTGTGACATTAATATCACTCTGTAACAACATTTAGACGGGCATGGTCCTTCTGTTCTGAATATGCCATCAATGTATTTCTTATTCTTGTTTAGATCTCAAGAACAGCTCCCAAGAATTTATTAAAAGGACACATAGTTTAAACAATGAAATCTGTGTGTGCATGTGTGTGTGTGTATGTGTGTGTATGTCCATAGCCATAAGTTACAATCTACTCTAGGGTTTCACAATCTCGGCATTGATAATATTATGATCTAGATCAGGGGTCTCCAAACTTGGCAATTTTAAGACTTGTGGACGTCAACCCCCAGAATTCCCCATCTTCACACTTCAAACGTTTTCATTGGGAATCAGAGAAATAACACCCTGGAATTTGTTGTCAGACATTAATAAGAAAAATTAGGTGGACATAGAGGCAAATATAAGACCAGTTACCTCCCCAGTGCTATATGGAATGATGAGATTTATCTCTGTTCTCCAGTAACAAGTTGAGATCCATTAAATCAGAGTGGTTCCATATTGCAAAATAGCTTAACAATCTATAAACTGGTAGGTGACCTGCTTTGGAATATGACCCAGCTGAATTCTACAAGAGAGTTCAAGACCACATTTTCCTCCCCTCCCCCTGCCCCCTCCCCGACTAACTTAGTTGTAGTCTAATAGACTAACCACACATATGCCTTCAGCAGCACCTGTATCCATAAAACAGGGGTCTTCAATCTTGGCCCTTTTATGACTTGTGGATTTCAACTCCCAGAATTCCTCAGCCAGGCATGCACTCACAACTTCTGAAGGCAAGCTGTTCCACTGGTTTATTGTTCTCACTGTTAGGAATTTTCTCCTTAATTCCAGGTTGCTTCACTCCTGGATTAGTTTCCATCCATTGTTTCTTGTCCTGCCCTCTGGTGCTTTGGAAAATAAGTTGACCCCCTCTTCTTTGTGGCAGCCCCTCAAATACTGGATTACTGCTATCATGTCACCCCTAGTCCTTCTTTTCTCTGGACTGGCCAAACCCAAATCCTGCAACCGTTCTTCACATATTAAATATTAATATTTAATTAATATTAAATTTAATTAATATGAAACAACCAGGCTACCTTTCCAGTAAGGGGGAAGGGATGCCATTCAGGACCAGGAAGTGGCCCAACACAATGGTTGCGACACCCAACTGAGGGGTATCACTTTCTACTGTGCCTCAGAGAGGAGGTAACAGACTTCACTCAAGTGACTGATGTGTTAACACATCTGCAATCAGACAAACATGTGCAGGTCCACAATAATAGTTGCACAATGCAAATATTCAAGCCACACAAATATTAAGAGTAGTTGATCTAAATAATGAATCAGTCACCCTGCAGAGGGTCAAAAAAAGTTCTAGAAGTTGAACGTCAGACCTTGACTCTGTGTTCCTATTTCTCTTTCCTTTGTCAACTCTTAGCATAATGTGCTCCTCCGTTAGCACTATCAAATAGCAAATCCTGAGTCCTCCCCCCCCCATTTTTAGCAAATATCTAAATGGCATGGAATGAGACTCTAAGCAGCAAAGTTTGTGCGTCATTCTCATGGCATGTCACTGCTGCCCTGGGATTAAAACACAACAAACAAACAAACAAGTAAAAATGTCCTGTCTTTTTGTTAAGTTTATAAACCAACTGTCTACAAATGCAACTGCTCGTCCTGTTCTTGAGCAAATTTGTGGGTATCCTCAATCTGAGGTCCTCTCCCTTTGCAGAGGCCCTGTCTATCAAACCTTTTTAATTGATGAAGATAATAATATTGAAGGGGTAAATGGTATGGTTCCCAGGAAGCCTGTCTATATAAGGTAGAAAAATACAACTGATATACATTAGGGGAGGAAACAGGAGAAGAAGCCTCGTAACAGTTCCTCAAAGATGTGATGAAGATTTGGTAAGAAGGGTTACCCTTGGGACAACACAAAGGGGATGCAATGGTCTAGCACAGGGGTAGTCAACCTTGGCTCTTTTATGACTTGTGGACTTCAACTCCCAGAATTCCTGAGCCAGCACATTCTGGGAGTTGAAGTCCACGAGTCATAAAAGAGCCAAGGTTGACTACCCCTCGTCTAGCATAGGGGTCCCCAACCCCCAGTTTGTGGACCGGTAAAAGGCCGTGGCATGCCAGTAACCCTGGACTGCACAAACAAGCAAAGCCCCATCAGCGGGATACAGGCAGCACACAAAACCACGCACTCTCCGGTCCATGGAAAAAGCTCTCTCCATGGACTTGTCCCTAGTGCCCAAAAGGTAGGGGACCTCTGGTCTAGCATATAAGACAGTGGAGTGGTCAACCAAAAGGTTGGCAGTTCGAGACCTAAGTACGTCTATGCGACAGGGTGAGCTCCCATTTTTTTTTTATCCAGCTCCTGTCAACCTAGTAGTTCAAAATCATGCAAATGCAAATAGATAAATAGGTATCACTTCAATGGGAAGTGCACCTCGGCATATAGTCATGCTGGCTGCATGACCACAGAAGCATCTTTGGACACCTCTGGCTTCCTAAGCTAGGAAATGGAGATGAGTCATGCGTGACTCACACAGAAACTTTTACCTTTTCAAAACAACACAAAGAAGCCTCAGTTGTAACTAAAAACTAAAAAAGAGTACAGAGAAGAGCAACAAAGATGAACAGGGGACTGGAGGCTAAAACATATACTGTAAGGAATGGTTGCTGGAATTGGGTATGTCTAGTTTAACGAAGAGAAGGACAAGGGGGGACATGATAGCAGTGTTCCAATATCTCAGGGGCTGCCACAAAGAAGAGGGAGTCAAGCTATTCTCCAAGGTGCCTGAAGGCAGGACAAGAAGCAACGGATGGAAACTAATCAAGGAGAGAAGCAACCTAGAACTAAGGAGAAACTTCCTGACAGTGAGAACAATTAACCAGTGGAACAACCTGCCTCCAGAAGTGGTGAATGCTCCAACACTGGAAGTTTTTTAAGAAGAGACTGGACAGCCATTTGTCTGAAATGGTATAGGGTTTCCTGCCTGAGCAGGGGGTTGGACTAGATGACCTCCAAGGTCCTTTCCAACTTTATTATTTATTATTATTAACTCCCTCTGTATTTTGCTTTTCTCCCCAAAATTTTATCCTTGGGTTTCTGTAACTTGAGAACACCAGCTCTTACTTAGAAAGAAAAATTTCCCACCAAGCCAACCTCCGAAGGTTAAAAGTTACATTTTAAAGGCAATCTTGATATTTTTTTTAATAGGTTGGGTCAATAATGTCAATTGTCTAAACTAACCTCAAAACAAATCATGGATTTTTAGATTTGTTGGGGTTTTTCCCCCCCTATGTCCTATTGTGGAATGTGGTTAGAAACCCTTGATTCATAGCAAGATGAGGGCATCAATTTTCAATATTCTGTTAGCAAATTAAAGACAAAGAGCAACCTTCAGCACTGAGGTCTATTTGCAAACAATATTCCATCAACTTCATCATTTAGCTGTGACTTTAAAATGGCAGTTATATTATCTTGCCCTTTCCGAATTATGCAACTAATTATGCAGTAAGCTTGTTAATGCTGCAGGATTATCGTTTCTTGGACCTGAATACTGAATATTAACCTTCTGTTGTACAGAAAGAAAGGGAGAAAAGAAGAAAATTGCTGGGAGGTTCTGGCACAACTCTAATGTTGTGCTGTGTGAACAGGAGTCTACTTCAGATTTTATGTAAGAGTAACCTTAGCCACTTTGAGATGTGTGGACTTCAATCCCCAGAATTCCCCACATTGAAGTTTACATATCCCCAAGTGGCCAAGGTTGAAAAATACTGTGCCAAAGCTTCTAATGGAATGGCCCCACCAAATAAGACCAAGTTCTTCATGGTTCTCCTAAATAGAACACAGAACATCAGAGTGGAAGGTACCTTAGAGGTCTTCTAGTCCAACCCCTTACTCAAGCAGGAGACCCTATACCATTTCAGATAAAATGGCTGTTCAGTTTCTTCTTAAAGGCCTCCAGTGATGGAGCACCCACAACTTTTGAAGGTGAAGTTTTGAGGTACGTTGGGGCTGTCCTATTTAGGAGGGGAGGGGAAGCAAAGAGAAAGAAGGGGAATGATTGACCAATGAGAAACACATCAGGAAAAAAAATTCAGTGCTGGAAGAATCTCAGATGGCTTCATGATTTGTCTTCTGTTGGATGTTTTGTGAGAAAGTTCTCATCCTCATAAAAATTCCCAACTAGTTAGTGCTCCAGAATAGGTAGACAGCAGCAGACTCTGGATCAGACACTTTTGTGTGGGACCTCCATAGCTCACATTCTACACATGAAGAATCTTGAGAAGATGGCCACATTTCTAGTTTTCCTTGCACAGCTTTTTAAATCTTCTCCATCTGGCTGGGAATTCAAATTCTGGCCAAACTTCCCCAGCCTATAAGTTGGCTGAGGGAGCTTTTTGTGAACAATGTTCCCTGCCACACAGCCTGGGCACAATGCTTCCTGCTTGCTGTGCTCTTCAATTTCTCTGCCTTAAACTCTGGCTTATGTCTTGCCATATTCCTTCTGTGCTTTAGTGCCCCCTTTGCCCCTTTCAGATCTTCTACTAATAGTAGGACCATATGCCTGCTTATTCACCAAGAAGATTCTCTGTAAATGTAAACACTCTGTCCAGGCAGAATTCCAAATTGTCAGGGTTTAAGATGCAGATAGAAAACAAAAAATTGGAATGCAACATTATCTGGATGCATTATTTGGGTGGACTTGGGAAGAAGGAAAAAATTGCATCACTTTCTCACTCATTTTTGTTTTTTGAATTTGTTTTTCATTTAGCCTCATTAAAGGTAAAAGGGTCTAAATGGCTTAGCACAGTGGTGGCGAACCTATGGCACGCGTGCCAGAGGCGGCACACGGAGCCCTCTCTGTGGGCACGCGTGCCATGCCCCAGAGATGGCAACCGTCCTTTTTCAACCAGCTTCCCGCTAACTCGACGAGGTCCCACATGGCC